TATTTATCAATTCTGGGAATTTATTGACTATGATTTATTCAAAAGGTCTTTGTGCTCCCTTCTCTCTCTTCTTTCCTTCTGAGACTCACATTATGAATAAATTGGTACAAATGGATTGAAGGGTGATGGTGTCTCTCAGGTCTTTGAGCGTCTTTGTTCATTTTTCTTTCTCTTCCTCGGCTGTATGATCTCAACTGCAACCTTCAAGTTTGTTGGTTCTTCCCTGCTAGCTTGGATCATTTTCATTTTAGTTATTGTGCTTTCCAAATCAGAATTTCTACTGAGGACTTTTCTATAATTTTATCTTTATTGATAGTTTCTATTTACTGAGACATCATTGGCATACTTTTATTTAGTTCTTTATTTTTCAGATTTTATTTTTCTATTTTTAGTGTCAAGGCAGGGTCTTACTAAGTTGCTCAAGCTGACCTCAAACTTTTGAATGTCCTGCCTCAACTCTCCAGTCTCAGATCATGGGTGTGCACCACCACATCTGGCTCCTTTAATTCTTTATAGTTTTTCTTTGCTTTTTGGAGTACATTTGTAAATTTCTGATTTAAATAGTAAATTTAGTACCTGCACTTTCCCAGGGACCATTTGTATCAACTGCTTTTTTCTTCTGAGGACGGGCCATACTTTGGTGTTTCTTTGTGGGTCTTATAAATTTGCGTTGAAAGCCAGTTGTGAACCCACAGTTCATGACTGTACCTTTGCCTTCACTTTCTGCTTGCACAGAGACTGAAGGTTGGTTAGACACGGAAGCTTAAGGTCTTCCGAAGTTTTCCTGAGCATGTATACAGCCTGGGCATGCACCCAGATACACATGTGCAGGCCTTCTAGATTCCTGGGAATATGTCAGAGCTTTTCAAATCTCCCTTTGGACATCTCATTCTCCAACTTTTCTTTTTAAGCTTTTTGGTTAGGCCATTGTTTGCTAGTTGTTATCCTCTAGCTCAGGTAGCTGTGATGTTAAACAGTCGCTTCTGATCATTTTGACAGATGACCTCAGAGACAGTGCTGTTTCCACTGTGTGAGCCCTGTCTCAGGTCAGACAAAGCCTTGCAAGTGGGGTCTTCCAGTGAACCACCAGACAGGTCACATAGTGACATTCTCTGGGCATGGGGCTTTGAAAGAACTCTAATCCTGTTTTTTCCCCTTCACTGGCTGCCAGGCTACTGGTTTTCACTGTGATTGTGGGCTGTTGGATTTCAAAGCTACTACAAAACTGGAGAGAGGGATAGGATAAGTTCAAACCCCACAAAAATTGCTGTTCTGAGATTCATCCGTTTTTCTTGAATAAATGCTCTTGAGGTTGTGCAAGCCTTTGAATAATTTCAAGAGTTCTGCAAAGGTTGATTCTGACCATATTTGCCAAATGCATGATTAAAAAGCTGAAAAGCAGTAAGCAAAAATGTTTTGAGGCAAAAAGTAAGTTGAAGTAGTCCAAGAAATAGGAAACCAATCCTTTCAAATTGCTTGGGACTTTCCCAGTTTTAACATGGAAATCCCACATTCTAGGCAAGCCTTTAGTTTCAGAAAACCAAGATCATTGTTTACCTTAGAGATAGGGAAGGAAAGGCTGAAGAAGGAAGGAGGGTTATTATGAACAGGAGGAGGGTGGGGTTGGAGTACAAGGCAGAATTCAGGGCCCAGAAGGAGAGTAGTTGACAGACGATTGGAGAAAGGATGAAAAGACAGATGACCTTAGGTACAGACCAGTGGTTCAAGAAGGAGTGCAAGTCTCCTGGAGCAGCCTCAGTTCTAGAATGGAGAGGGAACATTCAGAATGTCTTAATGGGGAAACAAGGGCCAGTGTTGAAGATAGGCTGAGAGAAAGAAGAAGGAGACTGGAGGAACAGGCAATACCAGGGAGCCTGGAGCCAGGACGTGCCCTGGGGTGGACAGAGGAGTTGGTGGCAAATGAGATTTCCCAGAACAACTAGTGGGCCACAGTCAGGCTAGCTAGGCGTGGTGGCACATGCTTATAATTCCGGCTACTGTAGAGGCCACGGTAAGAGTATTACAGTTTGAGGCTAGCTTGGGTGATGTGACGAGACCTTGTCTCAAAATAAAATTAAAAAGGACTGGGGATGTAACTCAGTGGTATGATAGTGGTCTAGAACATATGAGGCCCTGGGTTCTGTCCCAGCACCATAAAAAACAAAAAACCGTAGAGACTGAAGAGCAAGAACTGCATGTGGGCCTGAACTGAGAGATGCAGATGTGTGGAGGGTGCCTTGTGGAGATGGTGGGGTTCCTGCAGGAGCTGTTTGCTAGTGCAGGGTTGTGCCATACCTGCCTGGTGGCGTTACCTCTTCCTAAGGCTCTTGCAGCTGTGTAGGGTTTGTTTTCCAATGGTACCATGCCCTTGTGGAGTTGTTGTAGGGCCTGGAGCATGTGTGTGTGCAGGCAGGGAGCACACCAGGCAGTCCAGATGGCGGGAGGAAGCTGGGACTTAGTGATGAAATTTTTTTGGGGGGTGGGGGGGTACTGGGAATTGAAGTCAGGGGCACTCCAGCACTGATCCACATCCCCACAGCCCTAGTTTGTATTTTAGCGATAGCCAACTCCCTGAGTTGCTTAGTGCCTCGCCATTGCTGAAGCTGGCTTTGATCCTCCCATCTCAGCCTCCTGTGCTGCTGGGATTACAGGCTTGCTGCCAGTGCCTCCTCCCTCTATTCCTTGCCTTGTGGATCCAGAGGAAAGTTGGGGAAAATTTTCTTACACATGCTCCTTTCTACTGTATTCTCCCCTGAAAGTGTGGCCACTGAGAAGACTGTCCTCACAAGTGCTCCCCTGAGTGCCCCAGTTTTGCATTTGTTAAGAATGGCCTAGCACTTCATCCTTCTAGAAATCCTCCGTGATGAGTTGCTAATAGCGGTGTCTGTGAATGGAGTGCTCTCAGAGTTATGTTTGAAGTTTAGAAGGTGCACACGCAGGCTTGCTTGTGGCTTAGTCTGGCTGAAGACGAGACGGATGTTAAGGAGCTAGTGTCCCTGGGAAGCTGACCTGCAGCATCGCTGCTGTTTCCCCAGTGGTTGTTTTCTCCAGTGATGGTTCTGGACTGGCCCAGATCTGATTGATGTCACTTCTGAAAACAACCTTTGGTCACAGTTTCCTTAACTAAATGTTGGCTGCTCTGTAGGAGCTGCCATTTTATGCATCACTCCCTGTGGGAAGCCCGCAGGTGCCCTGGCTAAAGTTTTAGGAATGCAACTTTCTTAAGAAAAAAGCTGGCAGCCTTGGGGAGGAGCTGAGGGTAGGTATTAGGCATTTTTTTTTTTTTAAGATGTGAAGAGTTGTTAATTGTAAAAACAATAATACTTTCCTGCCCCTGAATACAACTGTGGCTGTGTTCTGTTGTTACACATTGCTCATTTATTCTACACATTGCTCACGATTTCAACAGGTTTAGAATTTTATTAGGCAATAAAGAAAATATTGAGGAAATGGTATTTGTGTTTTCATATAGGTCACTTGGGTATGAATTTAAATCCATTGTAATTCAAACAGGTTTAATTTATTTCATGTTGTTACTTGACTGTTTTATAGTTTATTGCTGTGGTTTGAATGTGTCTCCCACCAAAGCTCATGTGTTGGAAATTTAATCCCAAACAGCAGTGTGGAGGGTGGACCTTTAAGAGGTAATGAGGTCATGAGATTCATTCTTTCCTTTCTTCCTCTTTCTTTTTCCCCTCCACTATAAACCAGGTTTAGGATAACTTTTAATTTAGCTGCTTTGATTTCATTTTGTTTCCACTGTGGGGCATTAACCTAGCCTGGGAGCCTGGGCGATGGGTCCTATTGCCACATGGCTCTAGAACTCTCTTTCTGTGTATAACCACAGTTCATTTATTCCATTTCCAAGTTTTCTCTTTTGGGAAATGCAGAGATGAATATCCCTATTCCCAAATCTCTGTGGGCACCCATATGTGAGACGCGGAGGTAACTTTCTATGTGTGGATTTGCTGGGTCAGAGCATGACATTTGATGCCCTTGGATGCTTGTTATTAGATGGCTTTCCTGAAAGGGTAAGTTGTTATATCCCTGGGCTGTGGGTGCCTTTTGGAGGTTCTTCTGTCCATTTCCCTTGACATTAGCAGGCTCATCTTAGTAAAGGAAGCACCCCAAATGCTGAATATTTTTAAAGACAATACTTTCTACTCTATTGTATTGTCTTACTTGCCACCCCCAACAAAAGGAGGGTCACAATTTAGTGGAAGACTGTTTTTGTATTCACTGTTAAATTCACAGTTCTACATTGTTTAAAAAAAAAGTTCTTTTTTTTTCCTCCTTAATAAGGGCCTCTCTCTGAACCTATATATGGTCATTAAAAATTTTTATATATGTATCTCACATTTGCTCTGTAGAACTTGGGCTTGGAAGCAGCTCAAGCCTGTTTGAAAGCACATACACTTGATATGGCTTCTTATTTAGTCCTACAGGTGTCCTTGTGAGAAGGAAGATATGCTCACATCTTTTTTGGACAGAAGCAAAGGTTTAGAATAAACAAATCCCAAACCTCCATGCCAGGTGCAGTTTGGTCCTGAGGCACTGGAGGGCGCTCTAGCAACAGGAGATATAACCTGTCAGTGCAGTCCTCAGGATGACCCTTAACAGGCTGCTTGGGGAAAGATGGGTGGGTTGGTTTTCTTGTTCATTTTAAGATAAATGAAAGACATGTGGATAGTAGAGGAAATATTCTGTACTTCCCTATTCAAGGTCCCTTTAAAGAAACTTAAGAAATAACCCTGTGTTCCAGCTCCTCCTCTCTCTCTGCCCTCTTGGAACCTCACTGGGCTGCCTCTGCTATGCTCTGTCCTTAGCCTGGGGCACTCTGTCCTGTCTCAGCTCAGATGTCACCAACCTCAGAGGTCTTTCCTTACCATCCTGTACAACGTAGCACCCCTCCCCAGCACCACCAGGAGCCTCTGCACCCCTCCCCCTGCCTGTCAGATGGTATTTCCATCGCGGTTTCCACCAGATATATTATACACTCGTTTGCTTGTTGTCTGTGTGTCCTCTCTGTCAGTTTATTCTGTGCCTGTTGTATACCCCAAGCCCACAACAGTCAACATTCCATTGTCTAGAAAGGAACTATGGCCCTCAAATAAGAGGACCTTGGAGAATTCAGAAATACGGAGTAGATTTCTTTTGAGCTTTGAGTTATTTTGGTCCATTTGAGCTCAATTTGACCAGAGAGTGAAGATAATAAAAGCTTCATCTTCCCCGAACTTATGATGACAGTCTGCATTGAGCTGGTCCCCCCAACCCCAGGTGCTGGGGATTGAACCCAGGGCCTCAGGCACGTAAAGCTTGGGGTCTCCCACTGAGCTACACCCCCATGCCCTCCCTTACTCCATTGGTTTATCCAGTCCTCGTGCCACTGTGGGAGATGTGTTTGTCTGTGCCGTTGCCCCTCTCCCTGGACATCCTCAGGAAGGTGGTGTGTTTCTCTTATATCTTTCTTGTAGCAGTGACTGCTGCTAGGTGCTCAGATTGAGCTTGCAATTGCAGAGGCTAATGACTGACACTGTGGAGAGGCTAGGATTTTGAAATAATGTAGATGCACTGGGAACTAGAACCTAAAAAAAAAAAAAAAAAAAAAATTAAGAGTATGAGGAGGAAGATGGGATGTCCTAAATTTCATTCTGATCATCAAGGTTTCAGCTCAGAGAAGTAGATACCTGATTTCTGGCTGCTCCCTACCCCTTTATCTCCAGCCTTGTCTTTGTCTTAACAGCCCTGGCACCCTCAAGCTGGCCCCCAAGTGCTCCAGAGCCTGGACCACAGTGCTCTTGTGGGGCCTACCTGTTCTAGGTCACATGGCCAGGAGTCCACCTTGAATGACCAATAAGTGCTGACATTGGATGTGTAGCCCTCCCCAAGCACTGCACATTTTTAAGAAAGGCCTCCTGCACGTGCTTCAACTCAAAGGAGTCAGCCAGGCAAGAGAGTCTCCACCAGGGAAGAAATAGCTTACGAGAGGCTCCCAGCCATCAATAGCCTCTGGACAAAAGTCCAGACTGTGAATTCAGATCATTAGTGTCTGCCTGTGCTGCTGTAAGACAACAGGGACTTCCCTGGTGGTCTGGTGACATGGCTGCTACTGGGCACTGCAGAGAAGCTTTACCCTCAAAACTTCTCTCTCCACTCCCATCACATTGCTTCCTCACCCTGAGCTGCCCAAAGCTGGGCTCTGATCATGTTGCCCACCCCCTTACCCAGCATAACTTCCCTGATGACCTCCATTTATCTGCCCCATGGAGCCTGGAGCCCTTAACATGGCATTCCTGTGCCTCCTCTCCTGCCATCCCTCTTCCCACACTGCCTACCTCGCACTGTGTCCGTCCACCCAGATGCTGACCACTCCACACTCTCTCGCCCTTCCCCTCTCTGCTGTGCTCACAGTTCCCCAGCCAAATTCTGCTCATCCTTTAGGGCCTGTGGCCAGTACCACTTCCTCCTGGAAGCCTGTCTTCCTTGGACCTCTCAGATGGCAGCCATCTGTCGGGTCCTCAGAAGCCCTGCCCTCCTCTGAAGGCTCTTGCCACCTTCCCTTCATTAAGGTCAGGGAGGCTCAAAACTCCCAGTCGTCTTTGACGCCTCATCTCCCTTCCTGCCCGCATTCCATCTGCTGCCAGCTCTGTTGATTCCCCCGTCAGTTGCCAACTCTTTTCCACTGTCCTGGTTTTCTGTTCCTAGAACAGATTACCACAGACTCTGGGGCTTCAAACAAACAAAGTCTCACTTCTGGAAGTGAGGAGTCTGGCCTGGGTCTTGGTGGCTGTAACCCAGGTGTCCACAGGGCGTGTTCCCTTCCTTGCCTCCATTCACTCCTGGCCTGTGCCTCCCTGGGGAAGCCTGCAACAGCAGGGTGAGCTCTACGTTGCAGTTTCTGTGTCCTCTTCTGCTTCCCTCTCCCCGAAGGAACTTGGTGATTGTGATTGTGTGGAGCCCACAGGGATCGTCCAGGCTAGTGGCCCCAACTGGAGGGCTCTGATTTCTCCACATCTCCCCCACCTTTGCTATTTTCTATTACCTTTATTTTAGCCATTTTAGCAGGTGGGAAGTGGAGTCTAGTGGTTGCCTACAATTTTTTTTTTTTAAATTTTGTACCAGAGATTGAACCCAGCCCTTTTTGTATTTTATTTTGAGACAGGGTTTTGCTTAAGGCCTCACTAAGTTGCTGAGGCTGGCTTTGAACTCAAGATCCTCCTGCCTTAGCCTCCTGAGCTGCTGGGATTATAGGTGTGTGCCACCATGCCCAGCTCCAAATAATTTTCTTTCTTTTTTTTTTTTTTTTGGTTGGGGGTGCTGGGGGTCAAACCCAGGGACTTGTGCAAGTAAGGCAAGCACTCTGCCAACCGAGCTTTATCACCAGCCCCCATATCATTTTCTGAGTACACGAATTAGTTCATTTCATGACTGTTTAACATCCTCCCATTGCACTCATGAAAAGCAGCCCCTTTCCTTGACCTTGGAGTACGGTTGACCTTGCCTCTCTATCTCTTGTGTTTCTCCTGTGCTCCACTCACCAAGCACATAGGCTTCCTGTCTCCTTAAGCAAGACCGTGACCTTGGAGGCTCAGGGGGTTCAGACCCCAGGTCTCTTAGAATTAAAAGATGAGGGGCTGGGGTTGTGGCTCAAGTGGTAGAGTGCTCACTGAGCACGTGTGATACACTGGGTTTGATCCTCAGTACCACATAAAACTATATAAAAATACTGTGTCCACCTAAAACTAAAAAATTTAAAAAAAAAAAAAAGATGAGATGAGGCACTGACTGCTGGGTGTAGTACCTGTCTCATTAGAACACCAACAAGCAGTGGATGGAAAAAGGTCAGATGAATACATAAATGGCCCCTTCTCAGAGGGGTACGATGACCTAGAGCCTGTCCTTCTTCCCACCCTTTTCCCTCCCTCTGAGCATCCCATTCTTGGCATTCACCCAGTTGATCCTGGGATGTGAATGTGTGCATTTCCCTGTTGTATTTGATCTTCTCCATTAGATTGAAAACTCCACCCCTTCCTGCCAGTGCCCCGCACAGTGCCTGGCACACAATAAACACTGACTAGAGAATTCCTGAATGAATGTATCATCATATGGCCCCAGTAAGCAGAATTCCTTACTAATTATCGATTTGACATGAGAGTGTGGAAAGGCAGGCTTGTATGTGTGAGTGTGGGTGTATGTATGTTTTCCTAGATTATAGATTTGTCTAAACATTCCTGCTAATTTAAGATGTCAAATCTGAAGGTTCTTTCTTGGCTTGAGTTTTTGAATACAGGCCAGGGCTGTTTTCAGATTTCTTAATAGTCCCTCTTTTGTGAAAGTTTTCCAAAGCAGGACATAAACAGGACATCTTTTGTACATAGTGGTCTACTTTGTTGGTTTATGCAATTGAGTAGTGGGTAGAGGGGAACCCTTAATGTCAGCATGTGGCATTACCCTAGCCCTGGGGTGTCCATTATGCTGGCCATTATGTCTGTTTCAGAATTTCTCACCCATGGAATATACTTATCTTCCTCAACTCAGGACCAACTTGGCATCCAGAAGCTGTATTTTTTAAAAAATCTGTGGTTGGGAAGCAGCTCCGTGGTAGAAGGTTTTCTTCGAATGTGTGAACCATGGGCTCCCAACCCGGCACCACAGAGGGAAAAAGTCATGGTCTTTCAGGTGGGTGGATGCATTTTAGATCCAAAGCGACCTTCACTTCCATCCTGGAAGTTTCTTCTGTTTTTGTTTGTCCCCAACCCTGAATCATTCCCTAGCCCTTCCCTAAACACCCCTGGTGACGTACTGGGATGAGGTGGAAAGTGTGCACCAGTCAATCACCAGACTGCTGCGGGGAAGAGGGGGTGGGGTACCTGCAGCGTCGCCACCGGGGAACTCCGCTGTTTGCTTGATGCTGGAAGCTTCTTGAGGACCAGGGCCCAGGTGGAGCTGCTAGCTAGCCGGCTCTGAAACCAGCAGGATGCCTGGCTGTTTGTGTGGGGGCTACTGAGTATTAGCAACTAGCCAGTGACCAGCAGGGATCAGCAGATTTTAGATTTCACAAACATTCAGTGTGTTAAATGAGGATCCCCGACATTAACAAAGAAAGGATTTATGAAGATGGAAACAGGTGCATTTTATTAATTAGTCTACTATTTGGGGAATTATTAAAAAAAATGTTACTATCTCCTGGATTATTGTTAATGAGGGATACGAAACTTAACTTTTTATCTTTTTATTTTTACAATCATATGGTTTACTACTTGATGTGGATTTTTTTTTTTTTTTTGGTACCAGAGATTGAACCTCGGGCGCACTTTACTACTGAGCCACATTCCCAGCCCTTTTTCTTTATTATTTTGAGACAGGATCACGCTAAATTGCTGAGGATCTTGCTAAATTGCTGAGATTGGCTTTGAACTTTTGCATCCTCCTGCCTTAGACTTCTGAGTAGATGGAACTACAAGCATATGCCACCACACCTGACCCCAGTTCTTTTATAACTTTTTATTTTGAGACAGTGTCTTGCTAAGTTACCTAGGCTGGCCTAAAACTTGCAATCCTCCTGCCTCAGTCTCCCAAATTGCTGGGATTATAGGTGTGCACCACTAAACCTGGCTCTTATTATTATTTTGTGGGGCTGAGAAGCAAGCCCAGAGTCTCATGCTTGCTATGCAGCACTCACTCTACCACTGAATTACATCCCTGGCTCTTTTTTTTTGGCACAGGGTTTTGTTAAGTTTTCCAGGCTGGCCTCAAACTTGCAATCCTCCTGCCTCAGTCACCTGAGTAGTAGGGATTAGAGGTGTAATCATCAAGAATGCTTGCCTTGATGTGTCTTTTTTTTGCAGTACTGGGGATTGACCCCAGGGCTTGCTAGGCAAGTGCTCTACCACTGAGCTATATCCCCAGCCCCAATTATATTATTTTTAAGTAAGAGGTATTTATGATAATGTTTCTTCTTATTTTTATTTTTAATATTTTTTCTTTTAGTTGTAGATGGACACAGTAACTTTATTTATTTATTTTTATGTGGTGCTGAGGATCAAACCCAGTGCTTCACACGTTACGTTAGGCAAGTGCTCTATCACTGACCCACAACCACAGCCCCATGTTTCTTTTTATAATTCAGACACTCATTTATACATTCTTCTGAAAGAGTGAGGACTGTGTCCCAGGTCCTGATCATTATTACTGAGGCAGCTCCTTAGAGGAAAGAAGGGAAGAAAGGAATTGTGTGCTGTGGGGTGCCCAGTGGCAAGGGGCTAGACATGAAGCTGAGTGGGTGGGTTTGGGGCCAGGCTGAAGGCTTCACAGGCCAGCCCAGGACGGGACTTTACTTACATCCTGTTGGTAGCATGGGTACAGTAGAGATGTTTAATTTCTTTCGCCTTCCATCAAGTCAGCCCTCCAGTCTGCAATCTGGTCCTAGTGTAATTCCATGCTATTTCAGCCTCTTACCTCTTTAATTACATTCAAACCACACTGGAGGTGTGTGTGTGGGGGGTTCTAGCTTAGTGGTAAAGCACTTGCCCAGCATGCTGGAGGCCCTAGGTTCAACCTCCACACTGCAAAACAAAGCATGCTGAGAACGCTAATTGGAACAGAAAAAGTGGTCAGACTCTGCAGCCTAAGGGGCATGGTTCCTCCTCACCTATAATGTACTTACTGCACTTAAATAGTTCTAGTTGTTTGCAGCTTTCAGGTGACTTCATTGCTCTGAGCACTACACACTTAGCTTCCTACATCTGCAGTTAATTTGTTAAGAGACCTTAATGAGAAACTTCAAACACTTTAAATGTCAATTACCAGAAAGTGAGGTTTTCAAGTTCCAGTATTCTGGCTGTATTGGTCAAGAGAATGTAATCCCAGGTGGATGTAATTTAAGACAGATGACATTCCAGAGCTTCCGTTACAAAGACTTCTATATTTGGAGACTAATAATAAGCTGGCTTCTGTTGCTGCTCCCCTGGCAGGATTGCCCAGTTATGACATCTAGTCCGGGACTTCTCTTCACTGTTGCTCACTTTGGCGCTGTGTCTGCACTGGTGCTTTTGAATTGGAAAAGACCCAAAAGCTACTGTGTGCAGAGGAGTATATCCAGTATATAACAAAGGTAATAATTCCAGCTTCAACTCTACACCTTAGAGAAGAAAGAAGTATTTGTGATGTTATTATAGATTTAGCAAATGGGATAATCTTAAATTTCTGACTCACAAATCCCAGTTTGTTTCTTGCCACTCCTTTTCTGGGTTCTTTCCTTTGTCCCTGTTTCTTTAAGATAAGATGCATGAAGAAAGGGTTGAACATGGTGATGGGTCTATGTTTTAACAGAAAGTAAAGCCAGAGCAGGCAGAATAAATTAAGGCTGCCTTTTCTCTGCAGGTCAGTTAGTGGGTGTTACATCCTTAGTCATTTGTGCTACAAAGTACATGCGTTTTGGCAGCTGGTTTAGTTTTCATCACTTTTGAGCCTATGATGAATGATCCTGGCAGATTGTTGGCCTTAAAAAGGAAAACTTTTGTGTGCAAGTTTTAAGTTGAGTTTTGTTATGTTTTGAAAGCTTTTTAATGTAAGTCATTTATGTGGAATTTTGTTTTGTTTGAATTTGAAATTTTTAAAAAGTTCTAAACCAAGAGCCTGCCATATTGAACTGTTTTTCATGTTTGGCTCTTCAAAGTTAATTTACTGATTTTATTGTTAATAGATAGTAAAAAATAAATACTATTAGTTGATTCCTTTTGAAAATTGAAAAAATATTTTTAGTTTGTATGGTTTTAGGGTGTTTTGTTTTTTCCAGATAAAATAATGTTTCTAATGAAGTCTTAGACTACTATAAAGTCACTTTCAAAGTGAAGGAAATACACAAAATTATGTATATCTGAACATGTAATTTCATGTAATTTTGGGTAATCAGCCCTGTTTAAAGGCTTCTAGGAGTTGTTTTCTTTCAAAAGCAGCCCATCGGTTCTCTGTTTGGCATGTTGTGTATTGTTAAGACTTCATATAAATGTGAGGCACTAAAACGTGAAGTTTACAGAACCATTGGGACCTTTTTCTTGTGTGTCTAGCATGATCACTTCTCCAGGTTACAATAATCTTTGTGTTGTGGGCATGTTTACGAAACTCATGTCTGGTTTATCTGATTGGGAGGTGAAATTTAATTTTTTTCCAGGGGTTATTTCTCAATGTGCACAATCAGCTGATAGGCCTCAATACAATATGAGGGTTCATAAAGTGAAGTTGCTTAATCAGCTTCACAGCTGTGAGTTTAGGAAGTGAATTCACTTCACCCTCTCTCCAGAGGGATGACTTGGTGACTTATTCCTGGTTTCCCTAAACAACATAGTAGAGCCTATTTGGATTAATCAGCAGCCTGGGGAGTTGGAGCAATCATTTGAAATATGGAGTGGAAAACTTCCTTGCTCTTGGAGCAGTCAGAGGCCAGAAATGAGAGCCGTGTCCTTGTCCTTTCCCTGGTGGCTCCTCACCTGTGAAGTTCCACCATGGTGCTAATAAAATTGTAGGAGCTCATTTTATGTGAAACCATTAGCAGCCTGAGAATTCAGGACTAGCTGCCTCTCATACTTTAAGACACTAGAAGGTGTCATTTATAAGCATAGTGGGCCCGCAGGAAGGCAGAACAGGCTTGTAAACCTCAGCTTTAGTCTCTGGACAGCAATAATTTTGTAATACAGTTTAAAGTCTTAGGTTATCAGAATCACAAATGTGCCTTTATGTTTGATGGGCAAATCCCATGAAATATCTGTTTATAAAAGCAGATACAATGGCCAGTTATTTACTTCTTGTTGTGATAATGTTATTTTTTTTGTGTGTGTGTGGGGGGCAGGTAATGCTGTTAGTATAAGAATATTTTGTTGGTAAAAAGTTTACCATAAGGGCAGTTCTACGTAATTGTAATTAATACAGACTTTTTACTTGGAAATCGCTGCTTCACCAGTTCCTACTGAATTGTGCCACCGATGCAGAATTCCAAGGTTGGGGTGGGGGTGCGACAGTCTTCCATTTGTCTGATAAGGTGGAGGTTTCACAGGATACAGGTTCATGGTCACCTGTGGGAAGGACAAATATCTCTGACACTAGGCCAACCCAGTTCCAATATTTTTGTTGAAAACTCCCCAAATGGTACCTTATCTGAAACCATGGGGGGGTGGGGAACAGGAGATTAGGTGAGAATTCAGAAACCTATTCTGTAGCTTGAGAGCAGCGTACAGACTCTGCCTGGGCGGGAAGACATGTGTGTCCAGGCCGGGGCTCCTCATGGGTAATCTGTTCAGTCCTCCCCTGCTTGCCCTTCTTGCCTCCCGCCTCCTGCCCCGGGGCAGGTGTGTCAGCTGACCCTCCTGTTGGCCCTGTCCCTTCCCCATCAGCTCAGAGCTCTTCTTGCTGCAGCTGTGCTGCTCCTGCTCTTGGGCTCTTCTCGGCTCTGTGGTCTGCCCTGCTCTCTCTTTCTCTGGCAGTGGAAGCACATCTTCTGATTCTCCTGGGTGGCTTTGAAGGGCTCCCCAAGAGGAGCACTGATAGTTCTGTCCTTTGTCTCAAGGTCCATTTCTTTCCAGGGCACACAGGTGGGATGGGGCTGGGAGAGGTGGACTCCTGCTGCTCATCGTTCCTGTTTTAAGCCTCCTTCCTCCTCAAGATTTCTTCCTTTACCAAGGAGATTTCCTGCTCCTCCCCTCTTAAGGGTCTCAAGCTGTCCCAGCACCCACCTACCTTCCTTCCTTCCTTTCATATCAGAGATTGAACCCAGGGGTGCTTAACTGATGAGCCACATTCCCAGCCAATTTTTAAATTTTTTATTTTGTGACAGGGTCTCGCTGAGTTGCTTAGGGCCTCACTAAGTTGGTGAGACTGGCTTTGAATTTGCACTCCTCCTACCTCAGCCTCCTGAGCTGCTGGGACCACAGGCATATGCTATTGTGCCCAGCTTCCCAGCACCTTTCTGCTTGGAGATGGCGTGTGCTGGTTTGAAGGTGACATCTGCTAACATATTTGTCCAATCACAGGCATGGAGTCTTTTCCATTTGTATCGTCAGAAAGGCTGTGTGTACCCCACCCCCCAAATCTCCCCTCTGAGATGTGGCCAGAAGTGTTGGAGTGGCTTCTCTACTTAGATAGCTCTGCACCCCTGTGAGGTTGTTCCTTTGAACAGAGGCACATTTGGATGCTGGGTAACAAATCCTAGTCTCCTACTTCAGAAGCAGCTTGGGACGTTACTTATTTAGTCTTCACATGAGCCACCGAAGTAATGCCTTTTTATTTTTTATTTTTCTTTTAGTTGTAGCCATCTACAACTAATACCTTTATTTTATTTGTGTATTTTTTTATGTGGTGCCAGGATTGAACCCAGTGCCTCATGCATGCTAGGTAAGCACTCTACCACTGAGCCACAGCCGTGGCCCCCCACCCCCAGCAATGCCTTTTTGAGAGGCAGATTGTCCTGATAAACTGTTCAATGACTCTTTTAAACCTATCCTATTTTAAAAAATTCTCCCTCCCCTTTCTTTATTCTGGAGTCACTGATGGTGTGGACATGAGTGTATTTGTGAGAAGTGGTCTTCCTGGCGATGAGGGGGGCTTTAGTAGGGCTGCTGGTTAGCAAGCGTTCTGAAAAAAGGACAGACACTGGGCTGGTAGGAGCCCAGAGGGTTGAGAGAAGTGCTAAAAGTGGAAGCGCTGGGGGCAGGGAGAGCATGCAAGGGTGAACTTTGCCTGTTTCACAGGTTTCCTGTAAGTAGTTCTGAACAAGAAAAGCGTTTGATGGAATCTTACCAAGTTCAAAGACATTATTTTTGGCCTCTCTTTTTTCTTTTCTCCTTTCTTTTCACCTTTCCCCTGTGACCTCCCATTCCAGCTGTGCCCCCTTGTCTCCCGTTGCCCTGTACTGTTGATCTTGTCCCCTTCGCTGCCCTCTCCTAAGTCCCATTCTTACTCTTGGGAAGACTGTATACTCTCTGGAGCTCTTTATTCATGCCAAGCACTAACTATATACCCGAACAACATCATGAGAAGAGTGTTTTGCCTGAGGAAAGTGAGATTCAAACTTACACAGTAGAATGGAGCAGGTGCCGAGCCTTGTCTCTGAAGACTTTTCGCTGAACTACGACATTTTGGCCAGCTAGTTTAGACAGTTTTGTTTTGTTTTTGGTAGTACTGGGGTTTGAACCTAGGGCCCCACTCATGCAGGGCCAATGCTCTACCATTAGGCTTCTTTCCCCACCTCCTTGGTTTTCACATTTGGAGACAGGTCTTTTGATTTGCTTTTTCCATTGAACTGAGGTTCAAGGCTGGCCTTGAACTTGTGATCCTCCTGCCTGGGATTGTGCACCACCTGCCTGGTTGTGCACCACCTCACCCAGCAAATTAACACCTTTGGAAAGGAGTGTTCTTCTACTGTTACCAAAAACTGCCATTATAAAATGTCCATAAACTGAAATTCATAAATCATGGTATAGTCATACCATAGTAATGATGTAGCTGTTAAGACCTTGTAGTTTCCATGAATGATGAGTAGCTTCGTTGTACTAATGCCCTTAGATTCATAAGAATTATTGTAAGGTTCCAGAAAGCAAGCAAAATCAGGCAGAAAGTAGGGGTGGGCATATAAAGAAACTGCAGTGGATGAAGGTTGCAAGTTTATGACTTTTAACCAGAAAGCACTCCCAAATCTACTTAACTTTAATGGCAAAAAGCCACAGTATTACTCTGTTGAGGTGCTGGAGGGCAGCAGTGGGGACTAGCAGAATGGCCAGAATCAGGAGGGAAATCCCAGTGATAAGGGAGCTACAGAGCAGGCAAAATCCAAAGTCTTCATTTAAAGTGGCAGGAAGCCTTAGCTGGTCACTAAACTGTATGTGCAGGGGAAATCCCAAGGGGCCTGATTAAAAAAAGACGGGGGGAGTGAGGGTGGATAGCTGGACTCTGAAAGAACAGTAAAGATCTGAGCTGCTGCTGCCCACAAAGAATTTGGTGTTTGTTTTCAGCCTTGAAAACTGTGTGCTAGGAAAAAAGTATTCTTCAGAGGAATGTTCAGAATCCAGCATATCATTCATAATACCTAATGTACTATCAAAAATCACTAAAAAGGTAAATAAGGGGAAAAAAGCAGTTAATAGAAGCCAAACTCAGAGCCAAACTTGGTGGCACATACCTTGAAATCCTAGAGACTTTGGAGGCTGAGGCAGGAGGATTATAAATTCAAGGCCAACCTCAGCAATTTAGTGAGACCCCGTAGGGCTGGGGAGTACCCGTGGGTTCAATCCCTAGTAAAAAAAAAAAAAAAAGCAAGCCAAACTCAAGATGTTATAACTAACAGACAAGGAAGGATGTTAAAGCATCTATATACAGATATGTGCACAGTACCAATCAGGAAATATCAGCCTAGAAATAGAAACTATGAAACTATGGAAAAGAGCTAAAGGTTAGTGTTTGCCAAGGGCTCAGGAGGCAGGAATGGAGAGGGACTGCTTAATGGGGTCTTCTTTTGGAATTATGATGTGGTTTTAGTCCTTGTGTAACATTGTAAAGTGTCCCAATGTCACTGAATTGTATGCCTTAGAATAGTGAAAACTGCCTTGTGTGGTGGTGCAAGCCTGTAATCCCAGGGACTTGGGAGGCAGAGGCAGGAGGATCACAAGTACAAGGTCAGCCTCAGCAACTTAGCGAGGCCCTAAGAACTTAGTGAGACCCCGTCTCAAAATAAAAAATTGGCTGGGGATGTGGCTTAGCGATTAAGTACCCCTTGGTTCAATCCCCAGTATCAAAAAATCAAAAAAAGAGGGCTGGGAATATAGCTTAGTTGGTAGAGTGCTTGCCTTGCATGCTTAAGACCCTGGGTTCAATCCCCAGCACCACAAAATAAATGGATGAATAAATAAACAAACAAACAAAATAAAAATAAAAGAAAGAAAAAGTGAAAATTGTGAATTTTATGAAAAACATACATTAACTAAATTGAAATTTTTACTGGCCAAGCTCAGTAGCAGATTCCAGGTAGCAGAAAACTTCTTAGACTGAAAAATGGATTGGACTGAGATGTAGCTCACTGGTGGAGTGCTTGCTTAGCATACTTAAGACCCTGGGTTTGATTCCCCAGCATTTCAAAATAATAAAAATGGAAACCAGGTCAATAGTATTTACTCAGTTTTAGAAACATAAAAAAAAAGATTGAAGAAAAGACCTCAGAGACCCATGGGACAGTATCAGGCCATCTAACGTGTGTGTAACTAGAGCTCCAGAGGAAACTCGAGAAAGAATGGGCAGAAAATATCTGAAGGAGCAATGGCCAGGAACTCTACAAATTTAATGAAATATATTAACTTACAGACCAATCAACAAACCCCCAGCAAGATAAGTTTGTTTGGGGCTGGGGTTCAGTGGTAGAGTACTTGCCTTGCACGTGTGAGGCACTGGGTTCGATCCTCAGCACCACATAAAAATAAATAAACAAAATAAAGGTATTGTGTCCATCTACAACTAATATATATATATATATAAAGATAAGTTTGCTTGTTTGTTTTTGTGGTACCAGGGATTGATCCCAGGGGCACTTTACCACTGAGTCATATCCCCAGTCCTTTTTAGTTTTGAGATAATCTTGCTTAGTTGTTGAGGCTGACCTTGAGTTTGTGATCCTCTTGCCTCGGCCTCTCAACTCCTTGGGATTACTGGCATGCACCACCACACCCAGTGACAGCAGATTCCTAGGAGAAACAATGGAGAGTAGAAGTAAATGTACTGAAAGAAAAATGATTGTCAGCCCCCAATTATGTATCCAGCAAAACTTTCCTTTAAAATTTAAGCCAAGTTATAACAACAAGCCCATTATTATGTACAACTATAATGCATCAATAAAAAATGTGGAAAGAACCGGGTGTGGTGATACATGCCTTTAATCCCAGTATCTTGGGAGGCTGAGGCAAGAAGATCCTGAGTTCAAAGCCAGCCTCAGCAACTTAGCAACTCAGCAAGACCCTGTCTCTAAATAAAATATTTAAAAAGGATGGGGAAGTGGCTGGGTTCAATCCCTGGTACCAAAAAAAAAAAAAAAAGTGGAAAGAAGGAAAAGTATACAATGGGCATCATCATGTCAGGAAAAAAAATGAAGCCAAACTGAGCATGATGGCACACACCTGTGATCCCAGTGGCTCAGGAGGCTAAGGCAGGAGAACTGCAAGTTCAAGGTCGGCTCAGCAACTTAGTGAGACCCTGTCTCAAAAAAAAAAAGTGCTGGAGATGAAGCTCAATGGTAGAGCACCCCTGGATTCAATCCCTAGTACCACACCTACACACACAGTCAAAATAAAAACTTGGCTTTAAAGAAAAACAAAGGGAACGTGTTACAAGGAATCTGCACTGTGAGAAATGCTAAAGGAATTTCTTCAGCATGAAGGGAAATAACCCCAGATGATAATTTGATCTACAAGAAGGATCGAAGATCACCAAAATGATGAAGAATTATCAGGCCCACCCACCAAGTTTAAGGTCTTTGGGGGCACTGCCTGCAGGGGGGAGAGGTGTGGCCTCTCAGTGTCTTGGTGGTTACAGAGGATGACCAGGAAGGGGAATGAATGGCCAGGATGTTGCATCCTGAGCCCCAGGAATACAGAGCAGGTGACCTGGTCATCACCAACAAGAAGGCTATTCACACTGGCCCCTCCTGGATGGATGACCTCCTGGGGGGCGCCGAGAAGCAGCACACAAGTGTCCTACCTTATTTTTTGGCACCTGTAAAACTGCATTTTTAGGCCCTAAAGACCTTTTTCCATATAAAGAAGCAAAGACATGTTTGGAAAGTCAAACACATGGAAATGATTTAATGGATTGTGGGAAATAGACAGTAACCCAGGAGTGAAATGTACTGGAATCCACGCAGCTCAGCAGCAGGGCTCTTCAGAAACCGAGGGAGAAGGTGGGCATGCCACAGATGAGGGCAGCGAGGGTGAGAGAGAAGCTGGAGAGGGCAGCCCAAGAGTGGAGAAGCCATGCGCTTCAGGGAAGTCCTCTAGGAGTCCTGGGAATCTCCAGGAAGCCAAGGCAACAAGACTGCAAATGAGAGGACATCAGAGCAGCCTCAGGGCTGAGAGGCCCGTGGCACAGCAGACACTTGAGACATGAGGGAAACCAGTGGAGGCTCAGCTGCCTAACTTGCTGAGGTCAGGGAGGCCTCGGGAGGTGAGATGGCTGGGCCTCTGATGTTCTTGGGTTTGATAGGAACTACAGGTAGTCCTAGTTCTCATGGACAGAACCCCGGTTTGCGTGTACACTGTTCACATTGCTCTCTGTGGTGGGAGGAGACATTTTAGTCTTTTCTGAAGGTTATTGATTTACTTTCATGTTATTTGGTTGCATGAAGTTGCCCTTACCCACCAAGAATTATCAAAGTTTTTGTACTGACTTCTACATGTCTAGGAGCCTCTTTCATCAGTTCCACTCCACCATCACCACTCAGCTAAATATTAATTAGCGTGCTTACAATGGGATATTCTCTCTCTCTCTGGTTCTGGGGATTGATTCCAGGGGTGCTTTGCTACTGAGCTGAACCCCTAGTCCTTTTTTCTTTTATATTTTCTTTTATTTATTTGTTTGTTTATGTATTTGTTTATTTATTTGTTTGTACTGGGGATTGAACCGAGAGGCACTCGACCACTGAGCCACATCCCCAGCTATTTTGTATTTTATTTAAAGACAAGGTCTCACTGAGTTGCTTAGAGCCTCACCATTGCTGAGGCTGACTTTGAACTCTTGAGTGCAGGGAGATCCCCATCTCCTGAGTCTTTGGGATCACAGACGTGCCACTGTGCCTGGCTATTTATTTTTTATTAGACTCACATGAGAGCAGAAAGCTGTTCGCTTCATTGTACATAAATGGAGCACAAATTTTCATTTCTCTGGTTGTACATGATGAAGAGTCACACCACATGTGCAGTCATACATGTACCTAGGGTAATGATGTTTGTCTTATTCCACCATCTTTCCTACCCCCATGCTCCCTCTCCATCCTTCCCTCTCCTTGGCTCAATCAAAGTTCCTCCACCACCACCCCCCCCACTTCCCCATTATGGATCAGCATCCACTTATCCGAGAGAGCATTTGGCCTTTGGTTTTCTGGGATTGGTTTACTTCACTTAGCATGACATTCTCCAGCTCCATCCATTTACTCCTAGTCCTTTTTTTTTTTAGTTGTAAATGGACACAGTAACTTTATTTTTGTTCATTTATTTATTTTTTTATGTGGTGCTCAGGTTTGAACCCAGGGCCTCACACGTGGGAGGCAAGTGCTCTACTCCTGAGCCACAACTCCAGCCCATCCCCTAGTCCTTTTTATTTTTCATTTTGAGACGTGGTCTTCCTAAGTTGCTGAGGATAGCTTCCAGCAATCCTCCTGCCTCAGCCTCTGACTCACAGGGATTACAGTCGTGTGTTTCCATGCCCCGAGTACAGACTGAATTTCAGTGCGTAAGGTTAGTGAGTTATTCAAAATAAAGCAATGAGGGCTGGGGTGTTGGCTCAGTGGTAGAGCATTTGCCTAGCATGTGCGAGGCCCTGGGTTCCATCCTCAGCACCACATATAAATAAGTAAAATAAAGGTATTGTATCCAACTGTAACAAAAAATAAATATTAAAAATAAATAAATAAAGCAATGATTTATATTTTTCTGAAGCCAATACAATACAATTTCAAGGTGGAGGCCTTGCATTTTAAATATGAAATCATCAGCCCTTTGGAAAGCATTAGCTTTTAAATATAACTTAAAATGAACTCTATTATCTTTTGGAACTGGAATTAGAATGGTTAATGTTTACCCATAAATCGTTAGTGTATGTACATTATCGTGGGAGCTGCCACATGGGAGCTGAGCACCCCCTACCTGTGAGTGATGGAAGTGCGGAAGTGCAGGGGGATCCCCATCTCTGCTCAGAGGAGGAGCACAGCTCTGGGAGTGGGCGTTACCCGGTGGGAGTAACTGCCCCTTGTAACATTACCCTTCTGCCTTATATGGATGGAATGTTCTTTTGGACAGCCTCCCGCAATAAAACCCGGGTTTGAGGCGTGTTCCCTCTCTTTCTTGCCTGCCTTACCTCCTTTGTGGGAGCTGGGTCAGAGGGGCCGTCACAGAACCCAAAGAGAAAAGTATTTCTCTCTCTCTGTCATTATTTCATTCCAGCCCAGTTCACCTGGAGTGACCTTGCCTGGTTTAGTCATGTGTCCTGACACATTACTGTTGTTATGATATTTGATAATTTGTATGCCAGTTTATATTATAAGTATATATTTAGTTAGTTTGCGTTTTATCAATCCTGTTATGCTTGTCCTCGAAACATCTTTTATTCCCTCATGCTGGGGATCAGACACAGGGCCTTTTACATACTGGGCAAGCCGCTGGACCACTGAGCTGCACATACCTACCTAGCCCCAGAACATCATTCTTAGATTCAGTATTTGTAGTTGAAAAGTTTACTGTAAAAGAAACTCAAAACCAAAAACATTTGACTGTGGTGGTGCACACCTGTAATCCCAGCTACTCTGGATGCTGAGGCAAGAAAAGTGAGACCATGTCTCAAAATTTAAAAAGTTAAAAGGACTGGGGTTGTAGCTCAGTGGTAAAGTGTCACTGGGTTCAGTCCCCAGTGCAAAAACAACAAACAAAAATTACTATTTTTTTTCAGAATAATTTATTGCAATGTGTGAAAAAAGAAAATGATTAGATCTACATATGTTGATGTAAGCATGTAATAGTAATAATGAATATAGAGCAATTAGTATTCTGAGTGCTTTAGATATATTAACTTATTTAACACAACAATCCTGTAAAGTGGGGTACCATTATTAACCTCATTTACAAAGGCAAAAACTGAAACACAGAATAACCTGTCTATTGTCTCACAAATGTAGGTATCAGAATGTCTCACAATGTTGGATGAAAACTGAGCATTCTGACTCCCAAGGCCATTCTCTCAACCACCATACCAAGCTACCTCTGAAGACAGATTATTACATGAACAAGCAACATGACATATTATATGAACAAAGCATTGTGCTTGTAGCATGACACCATTTGTGTAAATAAAAGTATATGCTAGGGGCTGGGGCTGTAGCTCAGTGGTAAAGTGTTTGCCTCCTATGTGTGAGGCCCTGGGTTGGACCCTCAAGTATAGATGAAGATATTCAGTTTTTTTCAGAGATACACAAGAACCCTTTAATAGTGGTCAACTTCCCCCATAGAAAGGGTGAAGAAATTGAAAGCTTGGAATGTGGAAAGGAAGACTAAATTTTTGTTTTGTTCTTTTCTAGATCATTTGAATATTTTAATGTGCATTTATTGCTTTTACTTTGGTGCTGGGGATTGAAGCCAGGGCCTCAAGAATGCTAAGCATTAGGTCTACAACTGATCTACATCCTCAGGTCCTTTCTTTTATTTTTAAAATTAAATTTTAAATGTTTTGGGGCTAGGGTTGTGGTTCAATGGTAGAGCACTTCCCTAGCAATTGTGAGGCACTGGATTCGATCCTCAGTACCACATAAAAATAAATAAATAAAATAAAGGTATTGTGTCCATCATAAATATGTTATATACATAATATTTTTAGCTATACTTAGATACAATATCTTTATTTAGTTTTATGTGGTGCTGAGGATCGCACCCAGTGCCTCACACGTGCGAGGCGGGTGCTCTACCACTGAGCCACAACCCCAGCCCCAATTAAAAATATTTTTTTAAAAACTTTAAATGTTGTGAGATAGCTGGGAAAAACAGATTCTTGAAAGGAGAGAGGAAAGTAATATTGCGTCTCCATCTTATAAGAATATGACAGAAATAAAGAATACGTAGACCAGGAGTCGGGACCCTGGGTGTCTTGCCTGCTCTGTCAGTGGTGTACTATGTCACATCACAAGGGCTGTGGAGGAGGGAATAGATCTGGCTTTTGACCTTTCTTCTTTTCTGGCATCTTTTCCCCCCATCCCTGGGCTTCCCCTTCACTCGGGCTACCTCTTGCTCTGCAATGATCTCAGCGCTCTCTTCCCACACGCAGACTGGTGGCATCCATCTCAAATGTGAATGACAGCCACTAGGACACCAGGACCTGTTCTTCTCCTGGCTTCTTCATCTCAAGTGGTGACGGTTCCTCCACTTGCCTCTTGCCCTCACCAGGAGCCTAACTGAGTCCTCCTTGATTCACCCTTTTCACAATCCCCAGGCACATTTCCTCAGGTCCTGCCAGTTAACCCAAATACTTCTCAAATCTGTCTTGCTCTCTGTCGTTATAGAGCTGTGAGCTCAAACTTCAGACTACACCTGCTTGTTTACAGAGTAGGATCCAGTTCTTTAGCTCCGGGCCTTTGAAGCCCCTGTCCCAGGTCCCCCTTTGTGGAGCACATGCTGGGTTCCACCTATTACGTGAGCATTTTGGGCTCTCCTTGCCACCAGCCAGCTGCCGGCTGGGCTCACATCCTTTCTTTCTCCTGTGTTCCCCCCTTACCTTCTTTACACAGTGAGACATTCTTACCTTCAGAAATAGCTCAATCTTTTCTGTACCACGTTGGACCAGTGTTCCTGTTTTCTGTTTCCATGACTCATGAATTCTTCTGTCCTGCCTTTGGAGAGACCATGGAGACTGGTGGGAAGAGGACAGGTTTGAAGTGGATACTTTCGTTTTCAGTTTTGGTCTTTATAAACTCAGGCAAATTATTTAATCTCTCTAGCCTCAGTTCTATGGTCTGTATTTTACTGAAACAGAAGGATTGTAATATAAAGTGCTTAGCATGGCTGTTGTTATAGCTGTTGTCCATTCAACACTTTCGACACTGTGTTGAGTTTACCTGATCAAATGTCTTTCTCTTCCACTATGCTATACATTCCTCGAGGCCAGCTGTGCTGGATGAATATTTATTGTATTGAACTCTTGACATGCTGAATTTTAGGAAAGTAGACTTGCTAAGTTAAAGTGATTATGATTAACTCTAACTGTGGGATTTCATGTATCATGAAATTCAGAGCTTTATGCATGTTTCATCAGACTACTCAGATTATATGTATACATACATACGTACATACATACATATGTATATAACTTGTTTTGTACTGAGAATTTAACCCAGGGGTGCTTTACCACTGAGCCACATCCCCAGCTCTTTTCATTTTTTTATTTTGAGGTTCTTGATAAGTGCTTAGGGCCTTGCTAAATTGCTGAGCTTACAGTCCTCCTGTCTCAGCCTCCCGAGTCAGTAGGATTATAGGTATGTGCCATTGCGCCCAATCTAGATTATGTTTTTGAAGTAACAACTTACTCTCCCCAAGTAAAACATGAATCCCGCTTCTTAGTTCATTTTGTGTTGCTATAACAGAATACCTAGTAGTGGATTATGTCTAAAGAAAAGAGGTTTATTTTGATTCACAATTCTGGTGGCAGGAAAGACCAGACAGCATAATGCTGGCATTTGGTGAGGGCCCCTTTGCTGCATCATAGCATGGAAGAGAAGTAAGCAGAAAGAGAAGCAGCTGAATGCAGAAGGGGCCAAGCACACGGGTGTCCTTGCTCTATACCAGCCCGTTTCTGATGAGAACTCCTCCAGTTGTAGGAGACTTGCGCTCCATGAGAGGGGCCTTAATCCCCTCCCAGGGAGGGACCCCAAGTCTGATCACCTGCCAGGCCCCGCCTCTTAAGGTTTCCACCACCTCAGGACTGCCACACTGGGGACCAAGTTTATAGCACTCAAATCTGATTTGTTTTGGGGAACAAATAGATCTAAATTATAGCACTCCCTTTAAAAATGCTTTCTGTAGATATTTTAGCCTGTTCTCCTTTGCTTACCCTGCTGCAGATCATTAACAGTATGGATAAATGGAGCTGTTAATATTTACCCAGGTCTTAAAGTCTTGTTGAAGTATTGATTGAACGTTCTATGAAAAGGTCACTTGTTAGCTCATGGTGCTTGAAAACAGGCAGGAGCAGGTGGTGGCTGAACGTCAGCTGATACATGCCAGCCAGTGCTGGGTGGACACTTTAAGAAGCAGGTTCTGTGGCCATCTCTGCTTGACAGTGGGAGCTACTCCCTGGCACCTTGAACACCTGCTGCCTATTTCCCACCACCCAGCCCTTTCTTTTGCCAGAGTATCATTTCTTCCCTGCTCCCCTACTTCTGGAGAGAGACAGAGAGATCTCTGATTGGGGACAGAATTTAAAGCAAGAGGTTTCCTATGTAACAGCAGGCATGATTAACTAAGATGTATATGGCTTGCCCTGGACCTGTTTTCTTGGCTAGTGTTCAAATAAATGATGGTTCTACTGGGCGTGGCCATGGTAAATAGGAAGGATTGGTGCTTCTAGATTCTGTGCCTGGGTATGCTCACCAATGCAGCATTGAGTCTTAGCAAGGCCTTGACTGTTTGCACTTTGTATCTTTGAGAGAGCCAGGGAAGTAGAGGCTGCCCAACTTGCTAGTATGCTCACCTGAACATGAAAATATGAAAGTGGAGTGAAAGAATTCCCAATTATTAGGCTACTTCTTTTTCTGAGTTGAAAATACTCCATGAAAACCTGTCTTTGGATCAGTCTCCTTCCCTAAACTTTTCTGCCAAACCTGGTCTCTGTAGTATGTGGTCTTGCCACTGAGATGTGGTAAAGAAGAAATAAAGCTACTAAAGATGTAACGTATATAAACTGTAAAATTCCCACACAATGGGAAGAAGAGGCTATGTCTGTATATGTGCACCTTCATTCATAGTTCTGAAAAACTTTAGAGGCCAGTTTTCAAGCTTAGCAGATTCATTAATTTGCATACAAGGAAGCTAATTATAGCTCATATTTATCCAGTTATTGAAATCAGCTCAACAGTGCTACTAAACTACACCTATTAACATCCTTCTACTTATTTTGTGACTAAGAAATAATTGACATTGCATTTCTTTCAAGGTTTTTACTAATTTAGAGGGCCTTCTCTTTTCTGATAGAGCAGGTACTCTACTGTTGAGCTACATCCCCAGCCCAACTTGTTTTTTCTTACTCCAATTTTGTGTGTGTGTGATGGGGCGGGGGCAGGGGCGGGGGGGGGGAACGACAGTGGTACTGGGGATTGAACCCAGGGTGCCATACCACTGAGCCCTATCCCCAGCCCTTTTTATTTTGAGAAAGGGTCTCACTAAGTTGCTGAGGCTAGTCTTGAACTTGCAGTTTTCCTGCTTTGGCCTCCTGAGTCACTGGGAATATAGGCATGTGCCACCGCACCCTGCTCTATTCCAAGTACTTGAGAATTTTATTAATACACAACTATATAGACACATATACACCCACACTCATACAATATATGTGTGCCCTAATCATCTCACAAAATCATCTGAACAAATATTTTTTAACCACCTATTGGGTTTAAGTCTCTATGCTAGATGTGAGAGGTTTAGCAGTGACCAAACAGTGTCTGCACCCTTGGAGTTTAACAAAGGGCAAAGGTGGCTACTTGGGATGTAGCTCAGTAGCAGATCACTTGCCTAGCATGCACGAGGACCTTGGTTTGATCTCCAGTGCCTCAAAAAAAGAAAAGAAGAAAGCATCAAAGAAATACTAAAAATACAGTTTATAGCCATAAATATATGTATGCTTATTGAGCACTTAATATGTTCCGTGAACTGTGCTAACACTTTTAATATTATTCCATTTAGTGGTCTCAACTGCGTTGGGCGAATTGTATTTATTGTCACCATTTTTCTAAGGAGGAAACTGAAACAGAAATACCTGAGGCAAGCTAACTTTATAAAACGAAGCAGTTTACTTAGCGCACAGTTTTGGAGATTCGGGGGCATGACATGACCATGGTATCAGCTCTGCTCTGGTGAGGACCTTGTGGCATCATGGTAAGAATGTATGCAAGAAGGAGATGACATCTCTGAACAGGAGGCCAGAGAGTTCCATTATCTCTTTTGAGAGCACATCATCACACTCTTCCATAAGTCAATGCCAGCTTAGTCTCTTACCTGCTTTTTCACTCAAAGCTAAAGTTTAGGTCAGAGTCTATGGCATTTTGAAAAGTCACTCACTTGAAGACCCTGCTGATGGTAATCAAGGCCATTGGAAAACCAGCCAACTCTGAATCTTCACATCAATGAGCAGGGTGGCCTTAGAGGCTGACATTTGGAATCTGGACACTTGAGAGTAAAAGGAGTGCAATTAATATTGTGCCAGGACATCAGGAATCAACCAGGGCTGGGATGTGGTCAATGACAAACACTTGCCCAGCATGCACGACACCCTGGGGTTCAATCCCCAGCACAGAAAAAAAATAATAATAATGATCAACTAGGTGAATTGGGGCTATATCTCCAGCCCCTCCCCAGCCCTTTTTATGTTTTATTGTGAGACAGGGTCTCACTAAGTCGCTTAGGGCCTTGCTAAGTTGCTAAGATTGGCTTTGAACTTGTGATCCTCCTGCCTCATCCTCTAAGCCTTTGGTATTACAGGTGTGTGCACCGCACCCAGCTCATTATAGGTTTTTAAAATAATTTATCTTGAAGCTGAGTATATTTCACTAAGGTTTTTGTTAATCTATATAAAATGCAATCTTTGGTTTTTTTATTAGCTTCACTGTATTAGACTGAAGGTATTTTTTGTGATATCACCCACCTTTTTGTGTTTTACTTAAATCCCTATTATTTCAAGTAGTTTGCATTATTTGCTAAGGTTAGTAGAAAGTATTTTAAATATTAAAAAAATCAAAATTATTAAAATGTAAACAAAAGAAATTTGTTCCCTCCTTTCACCCTCTATTATGTTTTACTTTTGAAGGGATAGTCTTAGCAAAACATACTTCAATGTCAGAAACATTGCTATATTTTATAGATACAACATCATCTAAAATGAAAAATTGAGTGTGGGTTTGAAGTCGACAAGTGATGAAAGTAGCCCTGAAGTTGTTAATTAGAAAACAAAGGTGTGGAAGGGTTCTGTGGCACATGCCTATAATCCCAGCGCCTGGGCTCAGGAGGCTGAGGCAGAAGGATTGCAAGTTCAAAGCCAGCCTCAGCAACTTATTGAGGCCCTAAGTAATTCAGTGAGACCCTGTCTCTGAATAAAATACAAAAAAGGGCTGGGGATGTGGCTTAGTAATTAGGCACCCCTTTGTTCAGTCCCCAGTAGGAAACAACAAAAGGCCTGGAACCTGGCCCTCAGTGGGCAGTGCCCCTAGTATTGGTCCTAAGGCCAGTTGGATTTTACTGCTGTGGACATGTGTACATTCCCAGATGCAGGCCTGCATGCATAGACGCCCAAGCACTTGTCTGCAAGTATGTGGTGGGAGGTGCCAATCCCAATCACTCACAGTTCTCAAAACACTCCTTTTATGGAAGAACTTAACAAAATTGGTGACTTGTCTTACTTTATTTCACACATTGTATTTCTAACAGAATTTTCATTAGATGGTTTTATGAATTGTATTTACTAAATGACATATGAAAAATACATAATTGTTGTCTGAAAATTCTCAGACTGAGACTTGAACTCAGAGGTACTCTAATACTAAGCTACACCCCCAGCCCTTTGTATATTTTATTTTAAGAAAGGGTCTCAGCAATTTTGCTGAGGTTGGCCTCAAAGTTGTGATCCTTCTACCTCAGCTCCCCAGGTAGCTAGGATTACAGATATTGCTGTACTGCACCCC